AACCTTGGTAAAACTGGACTTTATACCATAACTGGAATGGTCCTGGAGCTGACGAGCGTCTGGGGCGTCTAGTTCTGGAAGGATGTTGCGCACTGCCCGAGTGTGTGTTTACTTCACAGCAAATTTTCTCGCGGAAAATAAAAAAAATGTTACACGATTAAACGTTTTATTGCTTGAAGAAACTCAACTGTGGATTATGGTATTAGAAACTTTATTATTTTATTCTTTGCTCTACGGTTCTATTGGCAATGAAGAATTGGAAGCGTCCTCAGTTTGAAACTTCTGAGATCCCTGCCCATTCCGTCATGAGCAGCAATCTCGTTGAGATCAAGGTTATGAATCCATTAATTTGTATTTCTATTTGTTCAGTTTAGCTTAGGACTCAGCTCACTGACTGGGTTATGAAATAATCAAGCTTTTGAAGCTGGCGTCTTGGGCTGCGCTTGACTCAACGTCGCTTGATGTTGCAGAGCAAACTCTGGCGCTTCGTCGGCAGAATGTTACAGCTGATCATAAAAAAAAAGAATCTGTAAATCTTGAATTGCCTTAAGCACTCATGGCCGTCTATTATTCACCCTTCTTTGTCGTTTACGGTAATCCTATTAGAAACAAAGCTTTCGGAACAATAAGAGCCCCATCACGAAATTGTTCTTACTTTTGTTGATTATCATGATTGCTTGTTAGTAATTCATCTTCTGAAAAAACGTATTTTTTCGAAGTTTGTCATTCTAATTTTCGTCTGAATTGATTATTATGTCAAATAATGGACACTCCTCCCAAGGGTTTCCAAGAGATGGATGATTAACATTCGAATGTTTTCTTTCCATTGACGATTTTTAACTACGGAAAAATCACTTTATACAAATCTAAATAATTTCAATTGCATTTTGCATGCGAAAAACGAGTGAATAATATTTTTAATGTTTTTTCAACTTGTCTTCCACCAGAAAAGTAAGAATTTTCCTCCATCATTAAACGGTACAGTTTTCAAGATAGCAGATTTTTCGGGAGTTCGGAGTTCGGCCGACGAACATTTCTCGTGTCGTTGTCATTTTTCTGACATTATCAACTCCCGTCGTCGCAGGATCTTTTGAGCAAACCACATCAGACTTTTGCTCGTGATCGACGCCCGTCACCTTTTCTGATCAATGCTGAAAACTCTTGGCGAGATTGCGCCGAAGAACTGAACGAAACGTCTTCAACCCACTGGGATTGCAAGAAATACTTAAATTTTCATCAATTTCTGCGCTCAGAGTTCGAAGTTATAGAGACGGAGTTTATGCGAGTCTTGTCATCATCGAACGATGGGATTGAATCGCTGTGATATATACTCATTGAGTTTCGCTCAACAGTGCTTCACCCGCGCATTATCTCGTCCAAGACACAACTGTTCCAAAGTCTTCAGTGATGATCAGGAGAGCGATGGTAGTAAAAAAAAAGAGTTTTCAAACCAATCAGAGCTGGGCAGCGCTACTTTGAAATGTAGCGGCCGCTACCGCTACATGCTCTAAATGTAGCGTGCGCTACCGCTACCGCCACACCCACTAGATTGTAGCGAGCGCTACCGCAACCGCTACAGTAAAATGTAGCGAAGCTACATTAGCCGCTACAATGGCCAAAATTGTTGTAAATCTCTATATATTTATTGTTCTGCTATTGGAATTTATTCATAAACATTTAATGATAATAAAATATTTTCAAAATATATCAATGCAACTTTATTGCAATTAACCTAACCGAACTAGTACGGGTTAGATACAGTAAATAAAAGTCGCAGTTATTTTTATGTTTTACCTTCCCTACATGGATGTGTACTTTAATCTACCAATCTCAAAAATTATCCACATATACATATAAAAAATCAGTTTTCATTTGTATATATATCATAACCAATATTGTGCTGGCTCCTCAATGAGAATGATAGAGATTAATATTTTATTTTATCCGCTGTGGTTGAATGGAAGACAATTGGATTATGCCAGAAAAATGTGCCAGCCAATTACTCGAATGAGATAAACGTTGCCCAATCTGCGGAACCATTACCCATAATAATTTTTACTAAGATGGTAAGATGATATCTTATGAAAAAGCTGATGCCTAAATTTAATCGTTAAGACTTCGTGATACTCTATTAATGGACCATTAAATAGTTAAAGATGGGTCTCAATGAGATTTCCTTCGATTTCTAATTTTTGTAGACTCCTGGAGTCTTCAGGGCTTAACTTTCTGAACGCATATTGTTCTGCTAGTGCTTTGGTTATTTCACAGCAGTAGACTAGCATGCGCGCGCTCATCTTAAATAATTGTGTTTGGACTGTGTTGTGTTGGACTTAAGACTCCAAGTCATGAGAGCACTCATTCAGTACCGTACTTCAGCTCGCAGGTCTCCTGTTTAATCATTTGCCTGTGTTCCGTTAGCCAGTATAGTTCCGCCAACCATATCCTCGCGAGTGGTTTTTAAAACAAATTTTGAATTTTGAACACGTATTAAATTTAAAATGAACACATGCTCGTTGTCAGACCCGATGTACTCAAGTTATGTTTTCCGCTGTCAAGGTTGTTGAAGACACGCATTTGTTTGATATTTGGTACCGATAAAAAAAACGGAATTTGCTACAAGTAACTTTCTTAGGCCAAAGAATGACGTGAATTTATAATGGTTTTGAGTTATGTTATAATCGTAAAATTGACTGCAATGTCCAATATTCTGCAGGATTACTTATCGTAAAAAAGTGAGGTTGGGTTGGGAATTTACACCAAACTTGATATTGAATATACACCAACCATGGTTGTCCTCGATCTTGAAAGTTTCATTATTAGCCTTAACTTTTTAGGTAGCATTAAAGGAATGTTGAATAGCAAGGTGGGCTTATTTGCACAGCACCAACATTTGCACGCGCCGTGTGAGCGATGGACGAGTGTTTGCTCACGTGTGACAAGCCCGTGATGTTCAAATAAACATTTCAGAATTGTGTATTTTGCAACGCATGAATGACTGTTGTTTCTGGCATTTTATTTTATTTTGTAGTATGAATTTTGTGACAACGATATCGTTCTTTATCGCCATCTTGCATTTATTCTATTTTATGCTTGAGGTTTTAATTACAATGAAAATAACTGTAAAGAAAATAAGAATACGATTGAAACAAAAAATTTAAATAATCGTAGATATTTTTATAAATGAATTTCGCATGGTTTACTTATCTGATGAGTTTTTAATTGTCATTTATGGGATTTTTTTTTTTTCAAACATACTGATGGCAGACATGATTGCAAAACTTGGGCACTACAAGAACAATTTATTTTCTGTATAATTTATTTATCATATCATGGTTTTGCTCATCTATTATTATTTTTGCCCCATTACCAACCGATACGATCGTTGTTTAGTCGGTCACAGCTTCAGTACTTCCCCCCAAAAAAATTGAGCTCTGATCTCCATTTTTAGAAACTTTAACCGAGTCCTGCTATTGAACAATGGAATCATCCAATCAATTTCCGACGCAGAAACGATTCTATACCAAGAACAATTAATTTCTTTATTTTACCTTCTATAATCCTTCAAATCAGAATGAGACCAGAATTTCTTGCTATTGTACTGCATTGTCAGCGAAGTCTTGTTATCATGGCCGGGAAATTTGCATTTCAACGCAGGGTGCGCCCGACGGTCCGAGGCTCCAGCGTTACAGTCGGTGCCAACAATAACACTGTCGACGTCGCTGCTTGTCTGGCGTGGCTTCGGTGTTTGCTCGGCCGACAGAAGCTTTGTCGGTGCAAATCCTCGCGACGTAGCGTTTGGATGACGGAAATAGGGAGTGCTGATCTTCATAGTTTATTTTGCCTTCAAGATCCCTTTAACGTGGCGTAGGGATAACGGAAAGTGAGAGTGCACATCCCTCTAGTTTATTTTGCCATAAAGATCCCTTTGACGTGGCGTAGGGATAACGGAAAGTGAGAGTGCATATCTCTCTAGTTTATTTTGCCTTCAAGATCCCATCAACGTGGCGTCGGGATGACAGAAATAGGGAGTGCACATCTCCTTATTTTTTTCTGTACAAGTCCCGAGACGTGGCGTCATGATGACAGAAGTAGGTAGTGAATATTTCCCTAGTTTATTTTGCCTTAAAGATTCCGTTCGACGTGGCGTTGGGACGACATGGAGTGAATATCTTGCTTCCTACATAAATAGTTTCATTTGAGTCCACGCTTCTCATTGCCGCGGTGTCAGAATAGCTAAAAGTTAGGTACTTAGGTTAGGATGTTTCGGCTTGTTTATTTTTTTATTGTTCATATATAGAAAGTTTGATACTTTTGAAATTTCTCAGAACTGGAGGAAATTATAGTTGTTTATCAAATCTCCGATGTCCGGCGTCAATCTGGCGTCTCATTATATTCATTATAATTATATTATATGATTAGATCATATGTGATTGATACGTTATTTTAACTTGACGTGATAGAGATTGGCGTGATAGATCACGCGATCAAGACCTTCGTTGTGGGCGGAAGCCGAGATCCTATAAAAGAGATGGGAACCTTAGTATTAAGGCTCCCCCCGCATAGCAGTAGTTGATAAGCGCTCCGCGATGTAACTCGCGTCATTATAGTTCTCCAACCTTACTGTCAACGCCGCAGCTTCTACCTGTATTGTATAACACTCTTATATTACCACCCCGTATCAAGATATGTTATCTAGACAGATGTGTCTTACTTATCCTTTTAGTCAACGAACCCTTCCTAAGTCAGGAGGTGCATACAGTAAATGACCTCCTGACGCAAACACCGAGTTTCTACAGCGGTGTTTTCATATTATTGCAACCAATTTATTCATTGTATTTTCTAGGTTGAATCCATATGAATGATTACATCAACGTTTGTCCATTAAAGTCATGCTATATATCCATTGTCATTGTGATTTAAATGATTTAAAACATATCCATACGTAACATAATATCCTAGAAAACCATGCAAGGCTGCACAAGGACAATAAAACAAAGGGGTTTCGTAGAGGAAATATAAACATTCTGTGTAATAGTCTATGTAAATGGAAACATTTAAGCAGAAAACAGATATATAAAGTTCCACACTGTATTTCACTTACTGCATTCGCACATCTTCAAGAACTCTGCTATTTGCTCGAAAAACGTTCGGTTATTCTCTAATAAAAACAACGATATTGTTTACATTCATTTTCCGTGAATTCATTAATGAATTCTTTAAATGAAATTCATTTCCTGAAATATTTATCGATCGCAATTCCAAATTGATTAGTAATTGATTAGTAACATAACAGTTATCATTCATACACACATACATATATCATTGAATGACAACATAATAGTTATCATTCAAAAACTTACATCAAGACTCAATGACCACATCATACAGGATGCAAATTCATGTGAACAAGTCCGGACAAAAATTTAAAATTAACTGCCTAATGCACAAACAAATTGTCATTTCTGGGTTGAACTTATATTTTAACGCTAGGTCCTTCATGACCTAGTTTTGAAGGTTGACGTTAATTAATTCTTCCTACCGCATATTATTTGATCGAACACTCGTTCAAATGTGCGACTTCATTGATAATTTTCGACGAACAGAATCGAGCAATAATTATTCACATAAGATAATTTCTGCTCAAAATTTAATTTCGAAATTTAACTATCGACGTGATAATATGGCCGTGCACCTGCCACGCAACACTGCAACGCCTCGCATGACCAGGCCGTCGTAACTGCTGCCTCTTCATGAACTGAAAGCAAATGAGTGCACAAAGGAACGAAGTGCAATCAAGGAAGAACAATGTTCAGTTAGACGATCACGGTAAATTTACATAATCATTTACAACTCGACATCAATAAACGCATGATTAATGGCTGGGTTAAACATCCAGAGGGGTTGTCGCGTTCAGACGAAAAAAGAAAAATGCTTTAAGGTTCAATGTGCGGAAGCATGACCGCAAAATCAGGGCAAGAATTTCATTTTTCACGCAGATTGTATATTTTTGCTACAAAATCCATGTAGTTATAAGACTGTGGAACCGATACTCTATCATCAACGAATATTTGTCTCTGAGGTTATTTCGACATGATTTTTCAGTGTTGACGAATTTATGTAAATGTAATCACTCGAGTGATTACCTTCAGAGGGATGCACTAATATCATTGGCAGTTCTAGAAACATGTTCCGAGATCACAAGATTGCAACATTTTTAGGTTAAGTTTGACCTCACAGCAGGTAAACGTCTTTGCAGGAATTAAGCTGCCCACAAATGGCTTCGACTTCCTGCTGGTGTCTTTTTATTGTCTATACGCCGAACATGATGAGCACACAATAAATACAACGCTTTACACATTATCAAGTAAACGAGTAAGCAGCAGCTAAGATGAGATGACGAACAACAAGTTATCACACCAAACGATTAGAAAACCAACATCGTAATTCTGATTACAAAATAGTTATGGATTGCAGATACGAGCAATAAAGTATTTGAGATTAAGAGAATGAGAGCTTATCACAGCACAGAGGAGCAGCATAGTTATCGAATCTATGAGCGTGATTCAGAGCATTCTTTGTTTTTGCTTCATTTTAAAAAATTCTCAATGAGCAAGATTCAAAATGGGAACTTTGCTAAATGCACATGCAATTTTTTAAATCAAAAATAATTTGTGTTCTTCAAAACTAGAATGCACAAATATATAAATTATGACAAAAATAATGATGAAATGTGCGGAGATTAGTCCGTAACCTTGTAACACATTAATGTTCCATTCATTGGCAAAATAATGCATTCTGCAATCAGCAGTGAAACAAAGATTGCTCCAATTCAGACTTCCGATCGGAGAAGGTCATATATATTGTCATTCTTAGCGTACAAGAGAATCAATGTTACTATGATATACACTTAACTATGTGCAAGTTTATGTGCAATAGTCATTTTAACAGATGGAAACAAAGAGCAATTTCTTAATGGTCCGCGTTTCATAATTTTTATTTTATGCGAGGAATGTGTGCTGATGATTTATAAGATTTTTTCATTTGACCAACATTGCACGTGCCTGGCTGATGAGAGGCTTTTGATAATTAGGTCCCATTTCACATGTACATTTTACGTGTGCCGAGACCATTTTCATTACTTTATCCAACTTCATGGAATTATCCCGTTACTTTTCAATTCCCATCGCAATATTTTTCTTGAAGATATTTCGCCTTTCGAGAAAAGTTCATATTGCTGAAGTAGGGAGATGTAAATTTTAACCCCAATTACATTCACTGTTTAATATTATATTAATGATTTCAGGAGGTGATATAAAATTGATATTAAGTTGCATGTAGATGCACGTTCATCAGTACAAATTTGTTCCAAATAATGACCGAATATTTTTGACTCATTGACTTGCACCAATTCCTTCCACAGAATTATAGTAATTAGGTGACCATTTATCTCAGATGACCATCGATTATTGAGCAATGAATTGTATTAATAATGAATAATGATTGTGTTGGAAAATAGCAGCCATTAGAGAAGAAAGATAGAACAATAGTAATATTAGTAATACCGATTATTGTTTAACCTGCAATAGGATATCGGGATGGGGGAGTGGGGGCCTTAAACTATCATACTGAACATTAAATAGTATTGCAATGAGCACCCTGGCTTATGAGTATAAAAACATGTCGTTACAAGTTGATTACAAAACCAGTATTTTGGATACAAGTTTGATCCTGCATGGCTACGAAAGTCTATGGCTGTACACGATTCAAAAAGAGACCGTTGAAAAATTATGCTTTAAAAATTTACATTTATGGCATTGTATTTCCACGAATAAACGATCTTCATTTTGAGTAACTCAGCAAGTGTATTAACATTCATTGCTATACTCACGGCCATTGGCCATGCTCTATAAAACGTTTCATTATAAGTTCCATCTGAAGTTTTGATAATCGAATATGAAAAATTGCTTAATTCCACAGTATTAGTCAAGCTTGGGAAGCTCTACTGTGGGAATTAATAGCTTGTTTTAACACCTGACGGGGCGGCACAGTTCAGAGGCTCACAATGTTTTCTTGAGCCATACATGTTAATGACCATCGCATTATTCTATCAATATATATCTGATGAGCAATAAGTACTCCCTGTTGAGGCATCATGATAAAGAAGTGCTCGAGCTTTCGACCACTTTGATTATTAAATAAGAGAGTAAGCTAAATATTCATAGCATTGAAATGAAATCGGTTGCATCTGAAGAGTGTTTCTGATTCTTGGTTCTACCGACTACACCGTACACGCTCTTTCGTTCACCCGCCTATCATGTGATTTATAAAGTTCTCACATATTGTTAATTATAATTTTGAATGAGCCGAACTAACCCTTTCATACCATTTAGAAATAAATTGCATGAAACATAACATTTATATAAACATCACGCCTTTCCAAGTAGTCGCTACTCATGTCTGAGTAACATGATACATAACTACAATTTTTCTTACCATAACGTATCATACACACTCGGAACGGATACATTGAGCATGTTCATGAATTATTTCCCTTGCTGTTCGTAAAGTCTTCTGACGTAATATGTTGAACATTTCTGCTATTCTCGATAAATTTTTAGATTACGATTTGTCGAAAATTTTCAAGTTCGCACGGTGGCTTTATTCAAGCCTTAGAGTAAATATTAAAATATCGCTTTCTCCCTTAATTTAATCTGTTCTCCAGTCACAATGTGTTATAACGGGATAAAGAGGGAAGTAGCTGTCACTTCAGTTCACCAAATAGTATAACGGCGGAAATAAATTAACACGTTTATCAGATCAAGAGCTGGAATAATTGTATGATCCATTGTGGTATCTTATACTGCATACCACAATATGATTGAACCACGATAGCAACTCCTCCAACAGCCCTTAAATGTCAACAAAACGCTACGAAATGCCTTTTCTCGAGTAAATATGTAAAATACACGCTTTTGTAAATACTTCATAAATGTAAGTATATTGGGACACAGACTTTTCTCTAAACATCTATGGTTTTCCACCTTCCTCAGACGGTCGTCTCGAAGTCCATATCAGTGTACTCGTCGGGGGTGTAGGCACTGAGGCGGTGATGATTGTCTTTGGCTGGGAGAATTGTCTCCTGGGTGCTCGCCCTACGTGTTTCTTTGGCCATCTTCTTCTTGTTGGTTCGTTTGATGATGGGTGGAGGCGGAGGAAGATGGTCGTCGTGTTGGATGTGGATGTGATTGGATAGCGAATCGTCAGCCTTGTGACGCTGCTGTCGCGCTATTGTGGAAGCCGAGATCAGAATAAGCACTGTGATCGTCAAGCCCACCATGGCCAAGTACAGCCATGGGATGCGCTCTAGGAAGCAGTTCGACAGCGTCTCGTCACTCCCTGTATAAAAATTTTTCACTCTTCCAATAAGTAAAATTATCGGTAGCAAATCAAAGGAGGGGTGAAATTGTAAGCGCGGTACAATTGTTTTCAATATGAATAAAAATTTATATGAAACAATTCATAATTTAAAAAAATGTTTGCAAAAAGCTGAATAAATTAATCAAATGATGCAATAGAAAATCATAAAATAATCCAAGTATGCAAATGTGACTCATGAACTAACTCGTATAAATATTTTTAAGGAAAACACCAAAGTTTTAGGTTTGAAAGCTTGAGGGTCAATAGGTAAAGAAGACTGACCGTCAGGACAGTGGGACGTGCCGTCGCACCAGAGCTGCTCCGCAATACAGGCGCCGAGAGCCACACAAAGTTCCTTGCACTTGCGCCTTCGTGAAGCCGAGGCTGCTGACTCAGCTTCCGACTCGGCGACTTTGTCCGGGTCTCTGAGGTGAAGCCACTGCATCCTCAGAGCTGAAGCTCTGCGTGGCTCCCATTGAGCAACAAGTTGAGGAATTCCTCGAACAAAATTCTGCAGAAACGCAGGCCTGCTATTGTCTTGCTGTTGCAAACCGGGAATTGGAGGCCAGACTAATTGAATCACGGCGTCTTGCGCAGCAGCCGGACAAACCACTACTAAGGTGTCCGTAGCTCCTGGAGTACGAAGCACCAAACGAGAATCTGTGCTACAAGATTCGTTGGCCAAGGTGGCTTTAGGAAGAGTAAGAAGGAAAGAATGGCCTACAGGGGCTTCTAGTAGCCAAGGCTTCGCATCGCACTCTTCTGACGTGTCCTCAGAGCCCAGGAACACTCCACCAGCGGGTTTGGTTAGCCTGCGATTACCACCTGAACACTCGGGCTTCTTAACAAATTCGTAATCGACGTCGAAATTGAAGGTTTTGTAATCATCTCCAGGACCCATGCCTAGTAGTGTCATATTGAACATCAAGGCAGATCCTCTGGACTCAATTGTGTGAGGAAGAACTTCTTGGGAACACAAGCAGGCGCGCGGCACCTCCACATCTTTCCATGGCATTTCAGATAAGTGAAGTTTCATCACTGATGCTTCACCACCGTCACAGTCCAGACTTTCAGTGAGAGGGCGCACTAATGTCCTGCAGGTGCTGCTTCCAGTCTTCAGAGAATTTATGGTGAGTTTTACAACTTCGTCGCTTTTGCCTTCTATTAGCCAGGAACAGTGAACGTTTTTCCGGCCTCCTCTCCCGTATAGGAAGACGTTTTTGGGGGCACTGCAAAAAAAAGGTAGAAATGAATTATGATGAGTCAGTTCGAGGTAAAATTTTGTAAGATAATTTAGATAATCAGCAAAATTTTTAGCAATATTCTTCTACGATTTCAATCCGTCTTATACTCTGGATTAATAAACTAAAAGCGAACCGATTTCAATATGAAAAAACTAAGATTTATTTAAAGAGTTTGAGCAGGAATGGCCGTTTATCGAATATTGCAGAGCAAATGAAGTCTTTGAAATCTCGTTAGCAAACGCACTACGACATTTTAATATTCTTTAGCACAGAAAAGGCATTTTTAGCGCTCCTGACGCATCTCTCCATGTCTAGCATGTCATGTTGATAATAGAAATTGTGTTTTCTCTTATAACCATAGCAGTTGAATAGCCATGAGTTGCGAAATGTAAAATGCAGCAACTCCAATCAAACCCATTTTTAATTGGGAGAAATACGTCAGAACCAACTGAAAATTTTAGATAGGCACAACACGTGGAAGCTTTTAGAGCGAATTCAAGGCATAACTAAATTCCGAATAGTTAGTTAAATTTAAGCATGGGTTTAAACTTTACAGCGAGATACTCTCGAGAGCACCTCGCACATGCATGTATACATACAAAAATATTAATACTACACTGGATATATACAATTTATTCATCATTATGGAACGATCGTTTCTGAGATTGTAATGGACGCGTCATTATTTATGATACTTGTGACACTTATATAAGTATGCTTGTAGAATGTAGAGCATAAGTATGCTTATGCTTATGCTCTACATAAGCATAATGCTTCTCTAGCATGGATCGTGCTGAAGATTTTCCCGCCTGAGATTCTTCTCATTACTAGAAAATCAAACCCTCAAGTTTTTTATCTGAAAATAGTTGGGTTGAGCATAAAAAATTGTTAAAATCCTTATTTAAATCCAACCTATTATTTCAATCTTCATTTTAATCCAATCTAGCCGCGAAATCGACCACCAGCTGTTCTCCCGAGAACATGAAATTCGCTGAACGACCACCATTGAGACTTCTGACGCTGCCTGTCATATGTTTAATTTAGGTGTGATAATTAAAACTTTCGTTTCAATTTAACTTTAGGGATTTGCTAGGGCGGTGCTTCGAGATTATGGGAGCCTGGCGTCAATTAGGGAGGCTAGGCCAAACAATAGCAGGGCGAGAAACGGCCTCCGATTCTGTATGAGTCCGCCGAACCCTTCCGCGGACTGCAGTGAGGAAGCCCAATGCCCAAAGCTGTAGATAACTTGACCGCGACGCAATTCTGGGCATACGCCAGGCCTAACCTCACAGAATATTTCGGCTGATTCTCAGTTGGCTTATATCGCCGGCTGAAGGTTTGGCGGAGTTACTTCGACCTATAATATTCATATCGAGTTCAGTGGAGCTAGACAGGTTTGAATTGAATGAATGAAGACAAGCTGAATTGAAGAAACAATGAAGAAATTATACGTGAAAAAATTGTATTTTGTGCTTGGAGTGTTTTTTTTTCAAATGGTCTCTAATTAACCTCATATGTATATCATAGAGTAAACACTGCCCAATGTGAGAGATTGAGCTTCAATGGCACTAGTGTTAAACTTTTTAGCACTGCAGCTAAAATTCATTTATACCAGACGTTTCTAATTATGTTTACAGTTCATACATATTTTTCATCTTTCAAACTAATGTTTTAGATTGAAATTTGGTATGCTTTTTCTCGTATTATGACAATCACAATGATATCCTCCCGTTGAGGAAATATTTACGCCGTAGTATCCCTGTCATATTGTTCAAATTAACTTGGTATTCAGCGAGCTCTGCACAGAACTTTTAACAATGCATCTCGCATTGAATGTAAACCTCCAAAAGACGATACCGCAGCGACACAAGATTAAACAATCGTTATTATTGGGGCAAGTCTTTCATTGCTTATGAAATCTGTTGAGGTAAACGTCCACAATGAGGCAAACTTACGCGTGCAAGAGGGCAATGCAGTCGAGGATCTTGTGAGCATTGAAGTAAAAAGCGATAAACCTGATGACAGCCGTTGAAATAAAATCAAACCTCGAGTTCTGAGCGACAAAAATTCAGCAAAATATCCTCGCCCACAATCGTTTACTGCCGCTCGGCTTTAGAAAGAATTTGCTGGCTCACATTTGCAGCGATACCACTCAGGTTATCTCGAATCACGAGAAGAAAGTGAATAAATAAATTCGAAATAATATCCTGGGGTTTTGGTGCGATTTTAGAAAAACCCGTGCATCTTGTGTGCTCGTTTGCGATCGTATGCCACAGCTCGGCATTAAAAGGAATTCGTTCGTAGACATCCACAGCAATACTCGGGTTATCTGGGATTACGTTTATGGGGGTAATTCAGAGGATCTGAGTCGCCGCAGCAGATGCTACATCACCTGGAATTCTGCGCTCGTCTTGCCAGCGTTGTCCACAAAGTCTCAAAACTTTGTCCGAATGTGATTTTTTTAATACCAGAACCATAGAAAAGGAATACTTAATTTAGGGTTTTTGAACCTAGACTGGTAACAAAAGGAACGACGCATCCACTGTCGGAACAGGTGCGCATGAAAGATGACGTAATTTTACTTCCAGATGACTTCATATACTATAAGTGCAAATCAGTTAAAAAAATGATTTGAGTTTGAATAAAAAAACTGCTATTGTCAACATGGAGGTGCGACTATTTGCCGCGAAGTATGTGTCTAAATTTGCCAGTAATATCAATTTAAGTTTCTTATTAGAACATCCAGTGGTCAGTGTTGCGCGTAATAAAAAATAACGCAGATTGATTTTGATTTTCAAAATAAACTTAGATATTATGGGCTTTTTAAATTTTTAAACATGTTAAAATTCATACATGTTTATAGACCAAATTAGTGTTAATTGAGTCAATGTCAATTGATATTAAGTGTGAAGAACAACGTTTTAGTTCGAAGTCAAAGGCCTGAAGGGAGGTCATCTGACCTTAATTAGTTAGTCATTAAAACGAGTCACGCGACAAATTAAACCTAATCCACTCCGATCGCTCCAGCCCACGTCTTCTCTGTGTCGAGGTCTGGAGTAACGTTAGTTCAACGAAGGTTCGTTCAATTACATTCCGCAAAGAATTGCTGCAGAAAAAAATAAGCTTTTTTGTTATTTAGAGCTTATTGTAACCATCGGCTCGGAACCAATATATATCTGTACCATTGTCTTTAGTTTAGCTTCTAATAATGTAGTAAAATTGTTCATTTATTCCAATCACATGTAATAGAAAGCCCCTCCAATTCCATGAATCAATTTCCCCTTCAACTCTTTGAATACAAATAAACGTTTCTATCTCTTTTTGGCCTCACCTTAGTTTGTGTGACTTAGCCGTGCCGTTACTGTAGATAACACGACTGCAAGGAGAAAACCTTTCTTCACCAGCTTGCCTGGCGTCGACAAACTCATAAGTGGCCAAGAATTTAACTTTCGTGACGAGGCTACCTTCGCCGAACTCCTGCGTTATGCTTGCCTGTTCACCGTGAGTGACGTAAGATTCGTAGGGGCCACACGGCGGCACCGTGGTATTGGAGTGGGCAAGCCGTGCTATTCTATCGCACGTGCGAGGCACGGTATCACGGCAGTGAGATGCTAGGTTGGTTTTGTTGGCTCCCAAGCTTCCGTCTTGGATGGTGAGGCGTGACTCGCACAAAGTGGTGTGATGGCGGCGAACTTGCGTTTCACGCGCATACCGCGCAAAGATAATCCAGATGACGTAGCCTGGAGGTCCACGGAAATCCCAAACACAGGTTGTGTTAGGTGTCACGCTGTGATCAGGAGCACTTATCCAACCTGTGGAGTTCTTCTGAGGGGTCAGAATTTGATAACATGTGTTACCGGAGCTGAATTTGGACACGTACTTCGTTTTGACCACCAACTCAAAGCCGCTCACGTACTTCCAAGGCGACTCATGACTTGGCGAGTCGTAAGGAGAAGTCGTAAACTCTATCAGCAAACTTGCCCCGGATGAAATTATCTCGGGTAATTCTGCTCCCCTGCAGAAAGTTAGCAGCACAGGAGATTTGGTGCTGTTGCCATCGTATATTCTTACGTAATCTCCGACGTAATAGCAATCATCGTACAGTTTGAGGTGTCTTTCCTCAGTGTCCAGGGGTTGCTTTGAGCTCTTGACATTGATGAGATGTGCTCTTCGCTGCCGCAGTGAAATAAGTGCCTTCTTACCGAAGGGGATTTGTGTTTGCGTGATATGATAATAACAGGTTGTGTTTCTTGGATAAAGGCCAGGAAAGTTAGGCGACTGGACGTAGCACGGCTTCACATCACACGCAGGAAACATAAAGTGACACATGGACGAGGAACTTCTGACGCCCGTAAATTTTTGCTTGTCTGGCGTACCGTACCGAACTATGGCATCTGACTGCCTGATGAACTTGTAAGCCATTTTGAAGTAGAAGCCCGAGAAAGAATCGATGGCTGTCAGGTCGTTATCCATTCTTAACCGAGTTAGTAGCAAAGTTACCGACGGAGTTTCGCTATAATAGATGTCCAAGCCCACACCGTCACCGCACCAGTAACCGGGCCTGATCAACACAAAATAATTAAAGTATAAGCATCATTGAATAACAATCAGGTAAATCATTTCATGTACTATAGTGGAGACGATTGTTATTTTACCTAATTTTAATGCCAACTATTTTAACGGTTATTTTTTTCTAGCTGGATAAAGAAGGGAGCTGGACATACAGTTCCAGATTGTTTTGTACAATAAACACCGAACCGTTACGTATGTTGTTCCTTAGCAGCCATTAGTTTCCATTGATGAGTTTTCGTATAACTAATAAGTGTCGTAAAATTAATTATTGGAATAAAAATTGAAGGATCAAACGATCTTAATTAAATCTGCAAATTGACAGTATTTCTGTATCCCTAAAGACACATCTGTGCTGGCCGTCACTCTCACCTGTATTGTCTCATGTTCTCGACAATCTGCATGTGTCCATGGGGGCAGCCATGGTCGGTATGCGAGTTGAACTTGCCGATGCTGAACTTGCGTAGCGCAACCTGCACGATATCGCCGTGCGGGCCGCCGGCTGCCACCAGTGTCACGTTGCACGTTGAATCGCGTAGGTTCCTCCGCGGCCACTGCACCTGAACCTCGTACGTGCGGCCAACCTCCCCGTAGTAGATGTGGTCGCACGCTGCACGTGGATTGGTGGTAATTTTAATGTAAATTATTCATTTTAGGTTCATAATTTATTGGTAGGAGGAAGTTATGGGGCATGATGGTGCCCGTATATAGCTTCTCTTCAACATATCTTGTCCTGCCATATTCACATCCCACAATAAGCACGAGGTTGCATGGGAACATTCGTGGAGACTGCAAATAGTTGATGAACGTGGGGAATTGGGATTGTGATGGCTGATATTTAGACGCTGCACATGGAAATTAATGCTCGTCGGGCCGAAATTATTGTCGCTGCTCATGTAAATCAATTATCTTTAGAACGAAAATTTAAATGCTGCTTTAAAAGATTGTTGAGATTTTTTTTAATTTAAATGCTGCTACCTGAAAGTTAGTGATTATGGCGGTAAAAATTTAGATGGTGCATATGGAAATTTTTTATTATGTTGAAGATATTTTTGAGGCTACACTTGGAAATTTGTGATTATGGGAACAGAGATTTAGTTGTTGAGAATTGAAATATATCGATTAGTGCGATGGAAATTTAGTCGCTGCACATGACAATTATTGATTTGTTAGGGCGAAAATGAAGTCGCTTCGTATGGAAATTTGTGATCACGGTGCCAGAGATTTAGACACTGCGCATCGGCCTTGGATTCAATTCCGATCTCAATTGGTCTCTCCATCAAAACTTTTTCAATAGGTCACACTCGTTTCAGATTCAAAAGTAAATTCAATTACCATCATTCTAACTTTTGCTCGCTCTCTCCTGTGAAAATTTGTAAAAGTCTTTGTTTTTCCTCGAACCATTGAAGTTTTGTTTTTCCCGGAATCCTAATTTCGCTTCTATGAGTCATTGAAGTGACATTAATTCTCGGCGCAACGAGCACGCCGGATTTCACGGCAAGGATGACAACTTTTCGATGGCCCTAATGACTTAAGTTCGACTTGACGCTGCTTCCCGTGTCCTGCCGCCTTCACAAATTAGTTTGGTTTCGCCATCTAGGCTCAACTTGGGATTACAAGCATTTTTTTAGTTAAGGTAAATTGCACGTTCGTGCTCGTTGAACGTGTAAACATTCGAATGAGGCGATATAAATTTTTTCCTGGTTAAAATATTAAAAGATTCCAAAACTGTCATGGAATCGTGCGTACATTAAATAAGTTGTCATTATATATGTTTTTCTTCTCTCCGTTGCACATGTAAGTTCATACTATTTCATAACATTCATCTCTGATACCAGCAAAGTTCAATGTTCCAGGATTTATTACTATTATTATTATGAGAATTAAAACAGTTTTTCCTATTATTCAGCATCGCCAGCGTATATTTTTTTGCCATGGAAGTACTACACAAAAATTCTCGGCCTATTCTGCCATAGTTGCTGTAGGGTTCGAGTCATACAGAAAACACTGTGCGTATATATGAACTACAGCGGACCGTCCAGAGAATTATACATATCATACGAGGACCACTGTTCGAAATGTCGTTATGGAGAACGAAATATTTCGACAGTCACTGAAGCTTCACCGCAAGATATAGGGTTTTTTTACAACCATTGTGTGCTTGGCGCCGTTCAGATCTTAATTCAGGCACATTCAATGCAAAATAAACATCACAACCTGTTCCAATGAAGTGGAGAAAATTTAATTATGAAACATAAGATTCTGCATTTTGTTAAACACTTTGTTTAATGCATTTTCTCAAATCATATTGAGCAGTCATTATTCTTGTGTTATATTTATTTGCAGTTACCAATTTATCGCAATGAATACTCTTTTTTTCCTACTTTATTCGAACTTATAACTTGTAACTCTCCCTGTTCTGACTAGCCAGCATCAGTGCACGCAAGTTTTACGTGGGGAAGTTAGTCACCCTGGGTACCGAATCTGGAAACTTGGCCAAAATTGGTCTTGATGCCAGCGTAATTTAGCCATGTACGTTAATGAGCAAACTTCTACCTTATTTTCGGTGTCCATCATTGGCTTAAGACTGCTGTGACTCGGAGGACATTATATAAAAGGCTCCTATATGAGTGCTACAGAAACAAGGTTGTCCTGCACTTACGAGTTGAAACAATAATATTTGCGATGTTGCACTTCCAAGCAAAATATTTGCGATGTCGCACTTCCAAGGCTGCTCGTTACTTAATTAATTTTAACGAATCCCATCAAAACAACAACTGTCAATTATATTTGTAGCTTTCTTCGTTTTCCATTTGAAATACCAAAATCAGAGTCAGTGACAGTGTAGTGTTAGCCATTTTGCGAGTTTTATTTCGTAATAAATTATAACTACCCTTTACCTTGGCTACACCGTTAGGAAGTTAACGTCGCGAACACAATTTTCTCGTTGATCGTTATCGTTCGGCTGATCCCCGCTGTAGGTTAGTTAAAGCTCTAATAGGTTCCTTTTTATTTATTAAATAATTATTATATTGTATTATTATTTCTTTATTCATCTTCAACGACGATTATTTTTAGATTTACTCTTCAACTGATAAGTACGTAGCCAATAAGGGTATTATTTACACTATTTTTCCATAGCCTAATATTTACTTTCAAAGCCCACCTTGTCAATTTACCCTGCATTAAAATCTCAGTTACAGTCTTTTTCATTTTCAATCCTGTTGTTTTACTGTGTGAGTAATGACTGGCTCTTATCCCACAACAGAATGTTTCACGCTACTTATGTTTTTCACGTAGACCGTAAATTCACAATGAAATAAAGTTCGCAAAGAATATTGCAAACTATAATATATGCAAACTATATATAACATTTATATGAGAAAGGAAGTTGTAAATTACAATTTCAAATTTGTGTCTAATTGGCTGACTTCGTAGCTTTTCTTCAATATTAACGTAGAAAAGATTTCGTGATGGCAAAGCTGGTCCACGCAAGGCCCATTTCTGTATTCTAGATGTGCCATTAAAGTTTCAAAACTACTTTCAACTTAATCTCATTTGCCTCTAGTCAATTTCTTTCTCGGTGTTCCTCCCACCTGGGGAAACTTTAAAATAAAAACGATTCAACTTTAACTTGGTTTTAATGCCTGAGCGAAATAAAGTCAAGCTCATCCGAACCGTTAGAGGTTTTTCCATTACTTTGTGCTCTGAGTATCCGGAAATTGAAAACTTTTTATGCAGACTCATGAATTATAAATGATTTAGTAGCTCATTTTTTCATTTATTTGGTAGAATATATTTTGTTCGCTGCAATCAAGAACTTATTCACAAATTAATTACCATATTTACTTAATTTTTATGTTATTAATAATAGCCGAGCGCTTCCTCCATTCAGAAAAGTTACTCGCATCCATTTCAGAATCCAGGCTTCAACACTGCCGGCCTCTAAAAATGTTACTCTAACACTCGGTATCAATCAATTTTACATAAATAATCCTGACCCCGATGTTCCTGCTCTATAACACTCTTGGACTGCGATAAAACCGCAGAAGGACAAAGTGGTCTCCCTGAAATCCTTGACTCCGACAATAGCAGGCATGCATGAGCAATTCGTGTTCACTGAAATTCTTGTCATCAGAAATTCCAAATTTCAGCAAAACGGAACTCGCAGCGATTTGAGTATCCATCAATTTAGGTGTTTGGCTATTTCAGGCCCCACCGAACCGAAGTTCAACAATTTCGGATGCCGACATTTCAGGGCTCAGCAAATTTCGGACTGCAATGGCAACGGCCCGAAAGTATGTATAGGGGGAAGGAAACGGCAGCGTCATTATGGCTGGCAGTAAGAATACCACTTCACTGCCGCCTCAAATTGCTTCGCAATCCTGCAATCAGTCCGTAGGATTTTTCTTGGGGGGTTACGAGAGCTTGAGAGTAATGGCCTCCGAATTAATCCCCTGGGTCTCGGCTGGCAGATCGAGCTTGCATTCGGCCACTGAGGAGAGGCATTTACGGGGACGATATCGTTTTTGGATTATATTTGGCCACACAGTGAGTGCTTTCATGCCCAGGGCGTGGCATGACAGTGGCCCGGGCTTGGCTTGACGGTGCCCAAGAAGAGCCGCAACTGGGTACCCAGAGGAATGATGAGCAGTCGCTTGGTGTCTAGAGGCATGAAGAGCCGCAACTGCAGGGTACCCAGAGGAATGATGAGCCACATCTTTGTGCCTAGTGGAAAGAAGAGCCGCAACTTGATGTCCAAAAGAATGAAATTTGAAGAGCCGCCTTTTGATGCTCTGAGGAATGAAGAGCAACAGAAGTAGTGTTCGCAAGAATGAAGAGCCATTGTTTTATGCCCATTGGGCGGAGGCTCAGTGACAGCGTCTGAAATATCGGGCGCTTGTCAGTCCGAGTCTCGTGGAAGCGACAGGCTCATTTCGTGGAAATTTCCTCGAATTGCTGTGTTCCTGCGCCTGACAGATTTATGAATGGAGTTCAACGCGCGGGATAAGCATCACTTGACCATGACCCGTAGTTCTCATGAACTATATTCATGACACTTGCAGCCTCTTCTTTTCATTCAAGGCCATTCATTTAGATGTTATCATTTCTCAGCGACAATTTTTTCAATTTGGGGGGCCGTAGTTTCTTTGTATTAAGAAAAAGTATGATTTGAATGCATCGAACACATTAATGATGTTTTAGACCATATGAATTAATTGCGGTGTAACGAGACCTTTCTTTGATTCTCCGGTTCACTTTAATAATATAAATAATACGTAATAATAATAATAAAAATAATATAATGCGAAGGCTAACAAGAATTTGATAATAAAAATAATGAATGCGAAGGTTAAAAATAATATAATAACATATCAGTAATATCGCAATGTTATTATATTCTATCAGCACATACCGTCGCCAAATAGCCTGTGCTCTGACGTGATGAACCCAATTCCGCGCACATGTTTCTTGCATTTTCCATACATATTAATCAACATGTTCCATACATTTTTTAAGATTTTTCGCTTATTTTTCAAATAGATGCTGTAATTTTTGATTGTCCATTCTCATGCATCCTCGATCCATTTTTCTATCACTTTTCATAAA